CTTGTTTATATCCAAGCCTTTAAGATCCCAGAAGCTATGTCTTTTGTTAGCCGAGCACCATCAGCTTTCTTCACCATGTACTTGACACAATAGGTAGATGTGTGGATTGTGATAAGAGTTGTACAAGTCCCCAATAAAATGATTAATAAAATAAAATAGAATATATCCTAGATATTAAAAAAATAAGAAGCAAATTTAGTTTATAATACTATTATCAATCAGTTGTTGATCATGGATTAAACCATTTTGGATAAGTAAAAAAAAAGAAAGTAGAATTTGCTACTCCAAGGAAGAAAACTTTGTAGAAGAAGAAAGAAATGGCAAGAAGTCTCTTGAGTGTGAAGGCTAGAGCGCTGGCAGCTTTTTAAAGGTGTGTGTGTGTGTGTGTGTGTGTGTGTGTGTGTGTAGAGGTGGTAGAGAATAGGGATTTAGGTTTATTGAGCAGTTTGATTGAGTAGATATAAGAAAGGAGATGGCCTATCATAAATATTTAATAGCAGAAGAGTATTGTTTGATAAGGTATGTATATTACCTTAAAAAAATCACTTATCAACTGTGTTGCTGGAAAAGCAGAACCATGGATGTTACCAGGTCTACAGAAGTTCGTTATTTCAGGGCCTGATTTTGTGTCAGACATTTGCTCTCCTGTGTCTTAAAGCAGTTTGCATTTTAAAAAGTGTAGGGTAAGCATTCCACTGGCTGAGAGCCACCGTTGAAGATGGACCTTGTATCCTAAGAAGCAGCAAATGATAGAGTACCCTAAGAAGCAGGCGGGTGGGAGTTACTAATACTCAGTGTGAAGCTAGCTGGTTTCTGGCTGCATGCAGTGGGGTGTGAACTGTATCAAAACAGAAAAAGGTGTCTTATTGACCAGAGCTGTGAGATCTCTCTTTTTCCACCTCTGCATGCATGGACAGGTGGGTGTAGGCGTGCCTCTATGTGTCAGTGCGCACGCGTCCATGTGGGTATGAAGTTGGAAAAAAAAAGATTGAGGAGAAAATGTTGCGGGCGATCCCGTGTTTCTCCTTGGCTGGGTGGTATTGTCTTCCACGCATACCTACCAGGGAGCATCTGGCAGGTGGGGTGCATACCGAAATTTTGTGGTTTTATTTTCCTCAAGTTGTGTTGGGCTGCCTGGAGCACACTGGTTTGGTTGACATTTATATCTATCCTGTTTTTTAGCATGCCATCAGCACGTGGCATAAATATATGCTCAGTATTTTTTGATATATGAATGAATGTGTTTGGGTATAGGATTCTAGAGCTGAAGGGGAGTTGGGCCCTAAACACAAAGATGTAGGGGCATTCCTTTGTAAATTATCACCAAGAATCAGAAGAATGGTTCAGAATGCAGGCTTTGAGCAGGAGTGCCTTCTAAAGAGAACAGATGTGGGGAAGAGGAGTTTCTAGAAGGAGAATGATTAACAGTGTCAAATCTAGTGAGAGAAGTTCAATCACTCAAGCTGGAAAGCATCCGTGGGTTTGGCAGGTAATCATGTCGAGAACACTTGGGATAAAGGGATGATTCCAGGCAAAGTAGGAGTGCAGTTGGCAAACCAGCCAAGGGAAGAGGGGAGAGACTGGAGGCAACACAGTCCACCCTTTAGGACGAGGAGGCCTGTCCTAAGGTACCCCTTGGCCCCTTGGCTGTTGAGTTGCTTCTAACACGTGGCAACTCTATAGGACAGAGTAGAACTGCCCTGGAGGGTTTCCAAAACTAATCTTTATAGAAGCAAACTGCCACATCTTTGTCCTGTGGAGCAACTGGTTCAGACCCCCTATCTTTTCGTTATCTGCCGAGTACCAGAAGGGTCAAATATATATTTTTAAATCCTTGGAGATATCATGGTGTCTGTCATCTTTTAGACATTCACTGTTACTGTCCAGCAGTATGGACCTGCAGGGAGTGACTGCCTGAAGAAAAAGAGTGGCCAGTGGACTGATGATCCAGAGGCAAATTTTATTTCCAAAGTACAGCTTTATATGTTAATGAGGCAAGGGTGTATAGCCCGCATATGTAACAAAAACATCGTGATAAAATTGCACTAAGCACAAACCGTTCCTTGGGACTAATCTTATCTTTCTCAGTGTCCTCAGGGCATCTCGGGGTTACACAGTGTCCCCAAACACCCCAGAGAGTCACTATTAAAACTCAATTCCCCCCTTTTTATTTCACAGCTAACACTGAAGAGCTAAAAAAATGGCAGCTATTGGCTGAAGCTGTGGTTTTTCTAAAATGCCGCTGGCTACAGAAGTGGAACATTTGGTTAAGCTGAACTTTATGCAAGCTTGAGATCATCCCATCCCGCCTTCTTCTGTTCTTATTGGGACCCTAGAACAATTTCACCCAGAACAGTTCTAACTTCCTTATCACCTTCCTCATCACATCATCATCATCATCATCACATCCTTATCACATTTCTTATCTACTGATCACATTCCTTATCCTTCTTTACTGGTTTTTGGGAGCATACTGAGTTCCTGCACAAACTTTAACTCCTTACTTACTTACTTCTACTTTGGTCTGCCAAGCAATTCCAGTCTTGTTTGTATAAAAGAAACAATTTTTCCCTAGGACTATTACGCCATGCCACCTGTTGGCCTATAACAAGGGCAGAGGCACCTAGGGCTGAGGATCCTATCACTGTTAGACCTACTAAGAGTGGCACTAATATAGGAGCGGTTCTGCGAGATCAGGTGCTTACTGCGATTATGCCCAGGTGTCCTCTTCTTTCTGTCCCACTAAATAGGTACACCTGGGGGATTACATGAACAATATGCACAGCTCAGAATACTTGTTTTGGTTGAAAGTAAGACATATAGACAAGGGGTAAGTCCAGAGGTACAAGCAAACCAGGTGGTAGCGGGGGTTTAAATGGGGTAACAATGTTAAAGTCAGGAAAGCCATTCACCCTGCGCTGGTCTTAAAGCTGTGGCTCAAGCGGCTTCATTTGCCTTCGGTTGCCTAGGGCCACTGGGTCTGTTCCTTTATGATGGCCAGGACAATGCACAACAGACACTTTACTGGGCATCCAGATGGCTTCTAACAGCTGCAAAATTTCTTCTTTATTGTTAATTTCAGTCCCTTCCAAGGTCAGCAAACTTCTTTCCTTATCTTTAAAGGGGACAGGGTACTGATGGGTTGCCACTGGGCTTGCTCTGCTGGGCTTGCTCCGGGTTTTAGGTGAACCACAACTGGAGGTGTGTGGGCTGCAAACGCAGGGGGAGGGTTATCTTCTGCCCAAGCCCCCCAGGACTTCAGTCAATAGTCTTCCCTCATTTGCTCAGAGGAAGGCTCTGTGACTGTCAAGAGATAACTCATTCAAGGGAAGAGTCTCAGAGACTCATCAGAGGGTTTCTTCTTCGGGCCCACCTAATGCTATTTGGGTATGGTCTGGCTGAAAACTGATCACCCCCTTAAGGTTAGTTCAAGAGACAGTTTCTAATTTGCCTGTTGCTCCTTGAATGGTAGTCTTCTTTTGGCTAATGGGGCCTGCTGCTTTCTTGAGGACTGAGTGGTTTGCCCCTGTGTCTACAAGGAATGTGACAGACCTGCTCCCCACTTTCAGGGTTATCATAGGCTCCAGGGGAACAGCAGTGCCCCGACCTCCTCATTGCAGTTCTAAGACTGGAATGGGTGGATTCTCTTCCCAGAGGGACTGATTTCTACACTGAAGTCGTTTGGGGCAGTTGGACTTCTAATGTCTTCCTTCTTTGCAGTAGGCACATTGGTTCTTGCCTAGTGTTTTGTGCACATTCTGTCTGTTCCGCCTGCCTGGCCCGGGGCGGATTTCTGGTCTCCCTGCAGTCTTGGCGAGGATTCTGGCCATTGCTTTGACTTGCTTCTCTTCTGGTGGGTTTCTATGGTTATAAGTCTTTCCTTCTATTCCTAATAATTCACTAATATTTTCCCCTGAAAACCTTTCTAGCTTCTGTAACCTTTTCCTGATGTCTGGTGTGGTCTGGGAACAAAAGCTACATGAACGGCCTTGCAGTTATCTGGTGCCTCTGGGTCTATGGGGGTATAGCCGGTTGGCATCAAACAACCTCTTTAAACAAGCTACTGGGCACTCTTCCTTGCCCTGAATTACACTAGTTACTTTGGACAAATTAATGGGACGGCGCGCTGCCTCCCAGAGACCACTCATCAGAGTCCCGGGGGTAGGTGGGGAGGCGTTCCCTATCTTCAGGGAGGTTTGGGTCCCAGTCAGGGCGGTGAAAGGGGAAAGCCGATTCCAACTCCTGGGGGTCAGTCTCGGTTGCCTGTCTGCTCCCAAGACCTGTTCCTGGCTCTCCCTGCGAATGCAATCACACTCCTCGGCTGTAAAAAGAGTCTGGAGTCGTCGTTGACAATCGTCCCACATTGGCCAAGGGGGATTTGATTCCACAATATCAATGCACAGGGTGATGTAGATGAGTTGGTCTGATGTCCAGTTTTTACACCTATTTGACCTAAAATGAAAACTCGGACTGGGTAACAGAGAGAGATTAAAAGTTCCTTCAGAGGGCCATCCCAGGTAAAAGTTCTGGGAGGCCTGAGTGGATATGGGTGATAAACAGAGGACAGTGAAGCTGGTGCATTAAGCATCGAAGATATGATAATAAATGGAAAATAGGCTTATCCGGGGACCCTTTCAATACAGTGGTACTAAGTTGAGGTACAGCATTAACAACATACAGAGAATCAGATACAACATTTAAAGGAGAAGGATTATTATTTAAAACGACTACCTCAGGTGGTAAAGGCGCAGAGGGAATAATCTCACTCAAAATCTTATGCCCTTCATTTTTCAAGTTTACATCATCCATTTCGTATTCATGTAGAGAAGCACTGTCCTTTTCCAAAATTTTCTTTATCTCCAACCCAAGTCTCCTCATCAAGGGTCCCTTCATCTGGAAACCAGGGATTCAACTCTCACATTACTTCCAAACAATTAATAATCCTATTTCTAGAAACAGAAAGCTCATGGTGTTTTAATGTATGGTAGATAAGTCCGGGAAAAGTCCCCAACTTTCCTTGGGAATTCCCCATGGAGTCACTGCTCCACAACCCCTCACTTTAGGGAAGTCGTCACTCCTTAATATAATTCCAGGTGGCTGATAGCCCCGTCAGGTCCCTGTTTTAGATGCCATATTGTTAGCATCCAGCAGTATGGACCTGCAGTGAGTGACGACCTGCAGGAAAAGAGTGGCCAGTGGGCTGATGATCCAAAGGCAAATTTTATTTCCATAGCACAGCTTTATATATTAACAAAGCAAGGGTGCATAGCATGCATAGTGTAACAATAACATCATGATAAAATGTTGCTAAGCACAAATAATTCCTTGGCACCAATCTTAACTTTTTCAGTGTACTCAGGGCATCTCGGAATGTGGGCAAACATTGTCCCAGCATTCCGGGTTACAGTGTCCCCAAACACCCCAGAGAGTGACTACTAAAACTCAGTGACTCCCTATTCACTGACATTTCTGATCAGTGTTGTGTTGATTATGTAGTTGAATAATACTAAATGATCTTCCTTTTAGGATATGTTTTTAGTACCAAGAGAAGAGTTATACCCTGTTCTTTTTATATGTTAATCTTTATATAGAGAGTTTATAAGTGGAAATAGTTATAATCTTTTTGTCTCACAACAAGATTAAGAATGAACTCTGATAAAGCATTTGGCTCCTGTATGAAGAAACTGTGTATAAAAAAGAAACTGACATTAGTAATGGGTGGGGTGGGAGGGGTAATAGGCAGCCACAATTATAGATTAAAATTGTAAAATGACTAGTAGCTATTTTGAAAAGTAGTATAATTGTTCACTAAAGAGAGACCAGAAGATTAATAAACATTGCTTCTTAATGAATTGTGTGTTGGGCTGTGTTGTGTGCTGTCCTTTGATTCTTGGCCTCTGTCTTTTATGTATGGCAGTATGCAAGACCAGCCTCAGATGTCAGCATGCTTGGGGAAATGATGTTTGGCTCTGTGGCAATGAGCTATAAAGGCTCTACCTTAAAGATACACTATATACGGTGAGTTTGGTCTTCCTTGTCTACTAATTGTGAGAAGTGAGTAGTGATGTTGACTTCTTATTTTTAAAAATGCATTCTCTTTTTCTTTTTTGCTAGTTCTCCTCCACAGCTGATGATTAGTAAAGTCTTCTCTGCTAGAATGGGCAGTTTCTGTGGGAGTACCAATAAGTAAGTGTGGACAGTTTTGCCTACCCTTTTTTAAGTGACTGTTTCTGGAAAGAATAACTGAGAGTCATGCGGATTTTAGAAATGAGAAAGAAGCAGTATGAATCTACATTCACAAAGATGTTTAAAAAGTAATCCTTTTTCTAGAACACATTTTATGATGATGTCACGGGTAGTCCCGCAAATCCAGCTTTTCAGTGCGAAGCCCAGAGAGTTGATCCTTCATGCCATCCAGGGACTCCATTGACCTATGTGTCTGCTGTGTGCTTTAAGTCGGTTCTCACTCGTAATATCCTATAGGCATAATGATCGTGTAGGGTTTCCTAACCTGTAATTTTTAGGGGAGCTTGCCTTTTCTCCTTCCAAGCCACTGGTGGGTTTTGAATCCTGAACTTTTGATTAGCAGCTGAGTGTTTAACTACTGCACCACTAAGACTCCTTCCATTGTCCAATAAGTGAATTAAAAAAAAATTTTTTTTTAAGCCTTTGACATTATCCAAACCAACAGAACCAAACTCCCTGCCATCAAGTTGATGCTGACTCATAGCAACCCTATAAGACATGATAGAACTGCCCATGTGAGTTTCTGAGACTGTAACTCTTTACAGGGGTAGACGGCCCATTGAAGGGCTGGTGGCTTTGAGCTGCAGACCTGGAAGATCATCGCTCCGTGTGTAACCACTGTGCCTTCAGGGCTACTTTGATTTTATCAGGTGTCTTTAAAGACACATCTTCCTTGTTTTCCACATTCGGTGTCTCCATCTGCTCCCCACTGTGCTCCTACCACTGTTCAGTAAAGTCTTGTACTGAGAAAGGAAATCAAAAGGGAAGAGAGGTGAGGCTAAATTAGTGAGTTTATTTTCCAATATTAGTTTACTGTTGTCACCCAGTATTTTTAACTAATCTATCCATCTACCACTTGCTTACATATTTACTTATTTACTCTTTCCAGGAGGCATCAAGCACACAGTAAGGTTTCCCAGGCTTATGGAAGGATGGGTCCTCTGTGCTTGCCATCTTCTCTGAGCAGTCTGTAGTCATTACAAGTGCCTGGCACTTGGGTCATGCAATATTTTGATCTTCACTTCTGAGTTTACACCCCTCTATTTTACACATCTGTGTAGACTTAGAATACCCCAAAATGTCTAATTGAGACCCTTTTTTGGCACATTTGTCCATATATTTGAACACCCATGCAAAGGTATTTCAAGTACTTCTTTTTGGATGTAACAAGAGTATTTATTACCCTTTGGTGCAAGAGGCTTTTTATAACTAAAGGACATTCTTTGAGATAAATGGAGTTTCCTGGTACACTAGAAGGATTGTCCTCTCTAGATTTGGACACCACTAAGTAAGTCTTTGAGGAGCTCTTGTCACGTAGTGGTTATGCATTGGGCTACTGATTGCAAGGTCCAAAGCTCAAAGCCACCAACTGCTCTTCAGGACATAGGTGGGGCTTTCAACTCCCATAAAGAGTTACAGTTCTGGAAACTCATAGGGGCAGTTCTACATTGCCCTACAGGGTCACTATGGGTCTGAATTGATTCTATGACAGTGAGTGAGAGACGTTAAGTCTTTGCTTACACTTAAAATGAAAGAGTGAATGTGCTTATTAATACTGGATTGTCATGAGTACAGCCATTATATTCATTGGTGGTTATTTCTTATAAGAGATTCCTTTTCAGACCCAAACATTTATTACAACTCCATATTTTAAAATACTGAGCTCAGACTTAATGAAAACTTATTTGGGCCTCATTATGATATATAGCCTTGAAGGTGTGATATTTTCCTTGTTAATAAATACAATGAATTATTAAAGCCGGTTACCTTCATCTTCATAGGAGAAAGATGAGACTGTCTGCTCCTGTAAAGATTTACAGCCTCAGAAACCAAAGGAGCTGTCCTATAGGGTCTTTATGTCCTATAGGGTCTATAGCTACTCCTATAGGGTCACTGAGTAGGAATCAACTCATTGGCAGCAGGTGGGTTTACTCTCACTTTAGTTTCGATGAGTAAATTTAACCTTTTAGAAGTTGGAAAATCAAACTGTTAGGAGAGTCATAATTGTTCTTAACCTGTTCTCCGCAAATAAAGCTTGAATAGCCACAGTTTGATGTTCCGATTTACATGGCCCTGTGGGCTAGGCATTGGACTGATGACCCAAGGTTGATGGTTGAAATCCACCAGCTGCTTTACGGAGAAAGTTGAGGCTGTCTGCTTCACACAGACTCAGCCTCGGAGCCCTACATAGGGTCACTGTGTGTTAGAGTCCACCTCTGTGACAGTGGATTTGGATTTTGAAATTGTTAGGTACCTGTTCAGTTTTATAAACTGGACTATCTGCAGAAAGCTGTTCTTTAATTTTCTTTATGAAATTACCAGTTTAATTCCCTTTGGTAGAGATCTTACTCATTTATAAAGTAAAATCTTGAGTGACTGATCAGTTATTGTCTATATTTAGAAGTCTGTTTGCAAACCCCCCCCCCCTTTTTTATTTGTCTCTTTGACGTTTTTCTCCTCTTTCTCCCTTCCTCCCTATCTCTGGCTTTAGCTTGCAAGACAGCTTTGAATACATCAACCAAGATCCTAATTTGGGAAAACTGAACACAAATCAAAATAGTTTGAGTACTTGTCGTACTGGAAGTAACCTAGGTAAAATTGGACACACAGATGGATTCTCGCTTTTTGAGGACCACAGTTGTGGACGTGCATTTTGCTTTATTTGATTTTGTTGTATTGTTTTATTTGTTTCCATTACCTTTAATCTGTGTTTATTTTGTGTGTGTATTCTGTTTGCCTTCTTCTGTGTGTTGCTGTCTCCAGGGCTGCTGCAGGCATGCGGCAGCAGACTGCTGCTGGGGGCAGCTGAAGGAGCGCCCCTCCGGCTCACCCGCAGTGCCTCTTTCCTCGCAGGTTTGTGTGGGATGCTGAGTGCAGTGGGACCACACACTGTTCATAAGTCCTGTGCAGGTTCTTAGAAAACCAAAAATCCTATTTGGATGCCTCTCTAGAAATCCAAGGGGCTCTTTTGATAGGAGATATTAGTTGCATATGTGGTCAACTTCCTGGTGTTTTGAAAATTCCACCAATGAACCTCTGCTGTCAAAATCTTTGCTAATGCCTCAGTGTAAGCTGAGCTTTTGATTCTGATCTGAAATGAGCCCCAATTATTTGTTTTTTGGTTTATTTGTGTGCTTTAAATCATTTTATTGGGGGTTCGTACAACTCTTATCACAATCCATACATATATCCATTGTGTCAAGCACATTTGTACATTTGTTGCCATCATCATTCTCAAAACATTTGCTTTCTACTCGAGCCCCTAGTATCACCTCTTCATTTTCCCCCTCCCTCCCCGCTCCCGCCTCCCCCATGAACCCTTGATAATTTATAAATTACTATTATTTTATCATATCTTACACTGTCTGACATCTCACCTCACCTACTTTTATGTTGTCCATCCCCCAGGGAGGAGGTTCTATGTAGATCCTTGTAATTGGTTCCCCCTTTCTAACCCTCCTTCCCTCCACCTTCCCGGTATTGCTAATCTCACCACTGGTCCGGTCCTGAAGGGTTCATCTGGATTCCTTGTGTTTCCAGTTCCTATCTGTACCAGTGTACATCCCCTGGTCTAGCCGGATTTGTAAGGTAGAATTGGGATCATGATAGTGGGGGTGGAAGCATTAAAGAACTAGAGGAAAGTTGTATGTTTCATCATTGCTACACTGCACCCCAACTGGCTCGTCTCCTCCCGACTCTTCTGTAAGGGGTGTCCATTTGCCTACAGATGCGCTCTGGGTTCCCAGTCTGCACTCCCCGTCATTCACAATGATACGATTTTTGTTCTTTGGTGCCTGATACCTGATCCCTTTGACACCTGGTGATCACACAGGCTGGTGTGCTGCTTCCATGTGAGCCCCTAGCATTTCTAAGAGGATATGTTTTCTGAGTCTCTTCTGCTGCTATGGACTGCTTCCCCTTTTCACTATTCATTCACCTGCACCCTTTCTTCAAACTTCACTCTGATGGGAGCATGGAAGACTTGTTTACTCTCTCTCTTGAACATGTTCTAAGTAGCTGAAATGTAGTTTCTAAGTCCTTTGTAGGTCTAACTAGTCCAGGAGAGGAAACTTCTGAGATTTAACTGGCCTTGCTAGCTCTGGCTGTTGAAATGCCTGTGGTAGTCATGGCATGATCGACAGGTGTGGGGAACTCGGGTACTAACATATTAGTTATGGTTTTTATGCAAATGGTATTCTTCATGCAGTTTTTTTATAGTCTTTATCATATACCTTTATTATAATCTGAAGTACAACTTTATTATAATCTGAAAAATTCTAGTTAACTGATATGCTAATGAAATTAACACACACACACCTACACACATCTACTTAGAATGAGAATAGCAGGTTTATACATTTGAAATTTTTGAAAAACAAGCATGCTTCACAAATACCCAGCAAATACAATAACCAGGCAGCATTTTTGGAACATCGCAATGCTGATAATAACAACAGCTCACCACCCTCCAGGCCAACAGTACATGGTTTATGTCAGTCTGCACCATTCCTACAAGTCTGTTGTACTTCAGAGTCCAATATTTCTAAAACTCAGACCAATAGATGAGTTTTGCCAAATAACTATAGTAATACTGCCTATGGATGTATGTGGCAAAGAACTGGAGGAAGAAATAATTTGAAAACCAACCAAAGTCTTTTCTACTTGCCAAGAGAGTGGGTAATAAACAGAAACATCTTTTAAATTTATGAAATGGTTTTCAAATAGCTCTCTTTCCTAAGTTGCCTTTAGTCATTGCTGAAAAACATTATAAAACATTTTGGAGAAGCAGTGCTGGTCCTGCTAATAATGAGAAAAATGGCTAAATACCGCTGTCTAAAGATGTTTCATTATTTCAACTGCATAGATCACTTGTTATTCAGGTTTTTCAGAATTCATAAACATCAATCAGAAAGGTTTATATGCTAAAGTAGAATAGTTAAGGCCAGAGAGTTAGATGGTTATGCATTTCCTTTTTGCTCTCACCACCTTTTTATATGTTTAAATTTACTTCCTGGTTCATCTGTGTTCTATATAAACTATATACCAATTACAAGCTGAAGCTTCCTTTAAAGGAGACGTAGTGGGGCAGAGTGACATGAAAGCTCTTAGCCGCTAACCAAAAGGTTGGCAGTTCAAACCCACCAGCCTTCCCTTGGGAAAAAGATGGGGCCGTCTGCTTCTATAGTGATTTCTAGCCATGGAAACCTCCTAAGGCAGTTCTACTCTGCCCCACAGTTACTATGTTTCGGCATTGACTTGATAACAACTGGTTTTGTTTGTTTGTTTAGGATAGTATGCTTTGAAATATTAAAAAGTGCTTTAGGTGTTTTAATTTTCTTTTTTTTAATGTTTGAAGAGCCCAATAGTATGGTTTCCTTCTGCCTTTTAGCACACAGCACACCAGTTGATATGCCAAGTAGAGGACAAAATGAAGACCGGGACAGCGGCATTGCTCGATCAGGTACTTTCACCTGTTTTCCTGCCTAATATAACATCTCTATGGTGGTGTAGTAAGTTGTGGGAAAGGAGGAGGACAGATGGGTGGTCTCAGAGCTGCTGGGGTTTTACCTCCATCATCTATAATCCTCGCACATTTATGAAGCTCTGAGACTTTAATGTATAACCTCTATGAGTGACTGCACAGCTAACTTGGGTATTCCATTTTTTTCCCCTAATACTCAAACTCACCTGAGACCGGTATACATTGAGAAGCTTCTTTCCAGAAGGGAAGCTTCCTTAAGCCAGTTGTTCTGGGAAATTGTTTACCAAAGTATTACAAGAAAATATGTATGGGAATAAATTCATCCGTGACAGTGGGAAGGTCTGCCAGTTGGTCTCGCCACCCTTTCTTCTGCTCTGGACACTTGATGATCTAGATTTTATCTCAGGTACCCTTTCCTCCTGACTGCACATCCTACATTTACAGCTACTGCTTTTTATCACCTGCGCCTGATTCTGTCAAAAGCCAAACGAAGAGTCTAGTGGTAGTTTCATTTGGTGATGGATCGATTCGTTTGATTTTTGTGAGTTTATGTAGTTTAGATCTGAGCAGAGTGGTGACCTAATGTAGAATTCAAGGATTCTGAGATGTGTGGCCATGCAGGATGAGCAGGCCGATCAGGCAGCCTGTACCTCTCGCTCAGGAGAGGAGCACCTGCCAGTCCTCCACGTGACACATGGCACGTAGGTCACCAGCCGTTTGTGCAGGATGCGCTCTGGCTGGATCAGGCTGCAGCTGCCTTTCCTCTTGACCATTCCCTCATTGCTGTCTCTGGCCCTTGCTTCAAACACAGCTGGAAGGGGTCTTTGCGCTCCTCCCAGGCGTTACCAAAGCCATGCACTGTGTGTAAACCCACTCCTGCTCTGATTGCTGAATGAAAAGTGCGATTTGTTAGGCGATCTTTCTGCTTGCCTTGTATATGTCACAAAATGTCAACTATATAGCATTCTATTTATGGTTAATAACAAATCATTGGACCCTTTTGGTGTTGATGTTATTTCTGGTAAGTTGGGCAGTGAACCTTTGGTCAGAAGTTAACGCCCATTGTTTAGGCTTGAAACCTGCCCTCCCTCGGTTACCCTGCTGGGATCTGAACTACTGGTGGCCGAGCTGCTGTCACAGCCACATGAAAGCCACCACCGTAGGACACGCTGACAGATGGGTGATGGATGATGATGTTGGGAGGTGCTGTCGAGCCAGTTCTGACTCATTGTGACACTGTGTACAGCAGACTGAAATGCAGCCTGGCCCTGTGCCATCCTCACAGTGTTAGCTTAGAGCCCATCGTCACAGCCACTTGGCAGACCATCTCACTGAGGGCTTTCCTCTTGTGTGATGACCCTCTACGGAGCATGTCTTTTTCCAGGGACTGGTCTCTCCTTGCTTCTTAGAAGCATTCCAGCTGTACTTCTTCCAACATAGATTTGTTTGGTCTTCTGGCAGTCTCTGGTATACTCAGTATTCTTCACCAACATCATCATTCAACTATGTCAACTCTGTCGTTTGATCTTCTTATTCAATTGTCCAGCCTTTGCACGCCTATGAGGTGCTAGAGTACCTCATATGCTACCGCTAGTAAAGGACACCTTCACCCTCAAGGTGTGCTATCTTTGCTTTTGTAACTCTTTAAACAAGTCTTTAATGCAGATTTGCTTAATCTGGTATGTCATTTGGTTTCTTGATTGCTTTCGTGGCATTTCGTGGTTTTTTGATGCTTTCGTGGGCATTGATTGTGGATCCGACTAAAATGAAGTGTATGGCAACGTTAATTTTTTTCTCTGCTTATCATACTTATTGGTCCAGTTGTGAAGATTGTTGTGCCCCATATGTTGAGGGGTGATTCATTTGTGGAAACATCGCAGTTGGTATTCCACCACTTTGTAGAACGAACGGGGCTTTTCCACCCAACGCCTTCAGTGCATTGAGCTGTGTATTTCAATATCATTGGTTGTTGCTCATATACTGCTGCCTGAAAGAAAAATAATGCTGCTGTTTAGATGGTGCTGTCAAAAATTGCACTGTAATTATTGTAAATTTAAATGTGGTTATAATGTATGCATTTGCTAGACCTGTATCCCTGTTCGCTGTCCTTTGTTTTCCTTTTTAAAGACTGCATTCTTTTTAGGTGAACAGACATCTAGTTGAGAGAAATCATAGTCTCCCCCTGCTGGATGTGACTGATAAGAACCTGAACGTTTTAAGTTATTTTGTATGTATGTTTTTAAGTTGCCACTTAAGGACCCACTTGTTTCAACTTTCAAATTTTCTTTCCCAAAGCCTCACTAAGCAGCCTTTTGATCACACCGTTCCCGTCTCCGAGCTCCTCTGCGTCCTCGTCCAGCAGTTACCAGCGCCGCTGGCTTCGAAGCCAGACAACGAGTTTGGAAAACGGCCTCATTCCAAGGAGGTGAGTTGCGGCTTTGCTCTTGGTGTGAATGGTCATGTGGGCACGGCGATGAAGCTCGTGGGACACTGAACTCTTGCCCTGCCTTAGTCTGTGATTAATGAAAAGGAGAGCCAAGCCTTCAAGTTCTAGCTCAGCCTGAGAGCTGACAGGATAGAAATGCTATGGAAAGAATAAATATCCCCACATTTTCTGGGTTGGAAAACCCTTGAAAACACGTGGGCAGTCGAATCATGTATGCATTAGATTTGGTGTTAGTTCAAGATGAGTACAGTCTCTGCAAATTGGCTCTGTTCCAGAAATCACTCTTGTAAATAAGGGCAGATTACAGACCTTCCTTGGCTCACAATACTAGCCAGGTAGTCTGAAAATGTATAAACTCAAAGAGTTTGTGCCATATTTCATCTCTTTGTAAACTTTAACTGCTTGAACTGAGCAGGCATGAATGTGATATAAAGGCAGCATCAAGATACTTTCTCCCTTTCACTTATTTTTTTGTAATGGAAGTTTACTTGTATACGAAGTATGCACTTTTGATGTGTTACAGTGGCAGAGTGGTTCCTTCCAACTTTTTCTTCCTACAGTCCCTCCATTTAAAAGGTTGTGAAGATAGGCTCTACCTGTGAAAAATGAGTGAACTGAGTAGGATTCACTGTGAGCAGGCAGTGGCAAAGATGTCCATGCCTGTAATTCAGACGCTGTGACCAGGAGAGAAGGCCATTCCCACATATGTAATGGTAGGAGAGGAAACCTGATCAATGCCTTGCGGAGCCGTGTCAGAGGCGGGAAGGATGACTTGCAGAGGCGGACTCGGGAGCCCTTTGTGGAAGAACTGGTGCTGGAAGGGGAGTCAGGATGCACAGTGTGTGTCAGCTGCTGGCTTTGCGCATTCTAGTGAGCTCGACTGAAGACAGAAAACACAGCTGCATCACTCACAGGAGCTGCGGCTGCTCGGTTGGTTGGCTTTGGGTGGAATGGCTGTGTGGAGGCAAATGCTCTCTGTCCCTCATGACATGTATGGTGAACGAGCTCATCTGGACTCTTGTTTTCTCATCCACAGTGTACCAATAACAGAGTACACTAGTATCTGCCTTGGGGGGAAGATCAGACTTTCTGCTCCCATAGTGATGTGCCCACAGGGGCAGTTCTGCTCCATCCTATAGAACTGCCATGAGTTAAAATGCCTCAATGGCAGAGAGTTTGGTTTGAGTACCTATCTCAAAATAGTTTTTGAGGGTTAAGTAAGAAAAAGCAAGTTCAAGTGTTTACCACAGGACATGAGACGTGATAAATGAATATTAATCAGTATACTTTACTTCCTGTTGTTATTTCCGCATTTATCACTACTGGTACTGTACCTGTCAGGAGAAGACACTTTCTCCATCACCATTGTCATTTAGATGGATTCCGTGATTGGCAGAGATGGGTCTTGGAAACCTTGTCCTATAGACATCTTCTCTTCACTGAAAACACGTCTGCAGACCTTTCCAGTTTAGATCCACCATTAAGTAGGGTTCCCCAGTCACATCTCCAAAGTCTTTCAAAATCCTCGAGTCGAGGTTGGCATTGGAAACTAAGCAAATCTTTAGTGAACTTGCATCTAAAATTAGTATCTTGAGTTCAGAAAGCTGGTGTAAGCAGTTGGGGCTGATGACATCATTTGTGGAGTCCGTACAGAGAAGTGTGTCTACTGTGTGGTTAAAGCACATGTGCTTTAAAAATGTTTAACTTCAAAGAGTAATGGGATACTGGTGATGTATGAGTAATATGTCGTAAGTGACAAAATGACAGACTATTTTGGTGTCATAGTACTAGATAATATTAAAAAGACTACTTTATTAATAGGTTATTGTGGTTCCTCATAAGATTTTCCTGGCTTGCCTGTCTGCATATTCATTTCTTAGGTTATAAAAGTTTATCCTCTTAGCATCTTCACTTTCATTCAGTATAACTGAAAGCTATTATGTCATTTGCACTTGGCAAATGCAAGGTGGAAAACAATTTATTTTACTTTGGAGGGAATCTTTCTGCTGCTGCAACTCTTCCTGGAACTTGTAAGAGTGTTTTACAGTCTGTGACAGCACGGAACCCATTTCTGATAACTTTCAGGATGTCAGTTTTAGTACATCTACATCCGGTGACTCTTAGAGAATAGTTCATCTGAAAAATACTTATTTCTTCACACAAACCCATTTGATACAAGTCTGAATTGAATTTTAAATGTAAATTTTTTTCCATGTTTCGTTTTAATCATTTTATTAGGGACTCATACAACTCTTATCATAATCCATACATACATCAATTGTGTAAAGCACATTTGTACATTCAGTGCCCTCATCATTCTCAAAACATTTGCTCTCCACTTAAGCCCCTGGCATCAGGTCCTCATTTTTACCTGCCCTCCCCGCTCCCCCCTCCCTCAT